AGAAAATGCACGATGCATAAATTGGAATGTGTGGTTTCTAATATGAAGGTAACGAATTAACAAAAATTGTTGAGATTAATAATTGAAATAAATACCTCGAAAAGGCCTAACGCATTTAATAGGTTAGCAATGGTGCTGTCATGACCACTGTATATCCACAAATTTCGATTTGGTGTTAGGGAATTATTCATCTTTTGTGTAAAACGGTCGAGCATTTCTCGTAGAAAGAATCCAGATTTCAAGCGTGCCAATGTGTTGGTGTTTGCTTCCATTTTGATAGAAAAATTGGCCAATTTATTCATATCACTGTCCGGATAAAATACTTTCGATGTCCAATCTGGCAGCGGAAAATTTTTCAAACTTTCCAACCTCAACGCTTGATATATGGTTTTAACTTTAAAAATCGTTTTGACCTTCTGACCAACATTCGTTTCCAAGTAATCAAACAATGCTTGATTGCTTTTTATTATCGATTGTATTTCATCTGATTCTTCGTATTCATCAAAAGCCTTAGCGTATTTGGGACATGGTCTCCTTGTTGCTATAATTCCGTCTTGAACTAGTGGGAGCGTATGAATGGGGATGGCTTGCCACAACAGTGATTCATTCCAAATTTGATGGTCCTTCGGTGGAAACATACCAGCTAATACATGAGCTCCAGTCACTTTTTAATCAAGATTAATAGTCAACATTAATCCTCAAAAAATAAAGAAAATAATGGGAATCAGTCACACTTACTCAAGGTTCTATCAAAATCTGAGCTCTGGACATAAATTGTATTTCTGTGATATGATCCGTTATTTGTGAGAAGTTTTAAATACCGTCTACGAAGATAATCGCCCAGTTCATGTGCTTGTTGCCGCCCGATCTATGATTTATTCAATGGTTTCTCTTTTAATTAGTTTAGATATATATTAATTAGAAGATAAATGTTACGTTTGTAAGTTGTGCCAACCCTTCTGGCCAATACAATTCACTTTGCCATGGGTCATTTTCATATGTTTTGATTATATTCCGCTCACCATGTCGAAATAAAATATGAGCAAAAACTAATTCATCTTTCGGTTTCGACGATTCAGTCATTTCAAAGGTAAACGTCGAATGTGCAAGAAACAGCACCAAAATCAAACTAAAATATACTTTATTCCACATATTTTAAAAAATTCGTGTAACTTGAAAAAAATGTTCTGATTTTGATTGTAATAAAAATGTGATTTCAAATTTCACATCGATCTTTCTCCCGACATGTTCAAACGTCGACTGATTATACTTGTCAACTATTTATGCGAATTAATGCTATTCAAGAACGTGGATCATTTGATTAAAATCAAACCCACACAAACAAGTGACATTCTAATTGTGTTTGCTTGTAGCAAAATATCATTATGAGAAGAGATACGGAGTGTAAAAAAATGTAAAAAATGTTATATAATTGAACGGTCTACAATAAAAACAACGTACAGAATGGTTGTTATATCAAAGCGGAACACGGCGTTTTTTTTATATAGAATTGTTGTTGTATTTCAATACGAGATAACTTGAACAATATCTTCGATCTTTCCGTTTTCCTTCGGTTACTATTGGGATGGCTAAACGATTTCAGAGAAAAGCAAAATCGAATAAAAATTTCAATTGGATTAAATCGATAGCGAAAATAAAGAAAATGACTGTCCTGCCGGATTTTAAAAACAATTCAATATCGAAAATTGTATTTGGTTTGCCGTTACAGTGTGAATGTGTCAATTAACATTTTAAATTAAAAACAGTGCTACGGTTTACTCAATTCAGTTAAACTTTTTAATCTAACCGTTAAAGATGATGGCTTTGCTATTGTTATCCGCAATATAGAACATGAATGGATGATTTGCGATGAACGTTGCCTCATGAGTATCAATTATTCAAATGATAAGAATACCTATGAAGTGCAAAACAAAAAAAAACTTGACAAACTCTAAATAAAAGAGATTTCAAAAACAATTACCACTGGTGGCAGCTGCTTCTCATCCACCTTCGGAAACTGAAACGTTCGCGATATTCAATCTAACATCGCTCACTGTCACCGGTTCGCTTGTAAGACCGCTTAAATCAGCATACTCGGAAAACATTTCAGTCATACCCATCTAAAATGCAGGAATGGTCATTTCAAAAACAATAATAATCAAATAATTGAAAAACTTAACATACATTCTTTAGAAAATTTGGTAGATGTTCAATTTGAAATTCGGCGGTAAATTTTGGAATTGAAAGGCTGACCTCTCAAGATGTCATTTGATTCATTATTGACTCCAAATTATCCTTTACTTTTGATTGCATTGCTGTTAATCCTGAAGGAGTGTTTGGTAAAAGGAATACCATCGAAAAGTTTGAATTTGCATAATTCATTTGAAGCGCTTTTGCATCGAATTCCCGTATATCGCCAAAATTAAAGAATTCACGAAAAGAATTCATTAAGTCGACTGAAACTTTTGTGGTGTCATTCACATAAAAGTCGGCTTTGTGTGTGCTTTTTTCATGAAATTTTTGTTCCCATTCGCACTTGAAGTGAATGGCATTTACCAAAACAACAGGACAATCCGTTAAAAATGCGTCTGCTTTGAAAAGATCATTTTTTTTCCATTTGTCTTTTCTTCGACAAAATGATTGATGATTTTTGCGGTAACAACGTTATTCGCAAAATCCACCGATTCAACGTCCGATTTAAATTTCTCACTAGCAACTTTCTGGAAATTTGGTTTTGTTTTATTTCCTTGTTGCACATAGATTTTATTGACAAATGGAAATATTGCATCACCAGCATCGCTTTCAAGCGCATCGAAAAAAATGGAATAATCGTTTGCAATCGAAGTTTTGTCACTGTTTGGATTGATACAATCTTTTATTTGCTCAAAGTACGTCCGTTGGTTCCTTGTGATAAAAAGGCCAATGCAGTTGTGATCGAGAATGGTGAAATTATCACATTTTCATTCGGGGCTGACTTGATACATTGCTACAATCGTATAAATAACATTTTGGTTTTGTTAAATCCGCAATCAACAGACGTAACACTAAACGAAAAAATGAAATCTTTATTAATTAATATAAATTTAAATTGTAAGTTGAATGGAAGTGATCATACTTGTGTCAAGTTGTTTACTTTGACTTTAATACAAATGAAATGTTTTTTAAAATGTGTTTTACTAATTTTTCGCCGAGTTTTGAATTATGGTGCTTTTGGAGCGACTATCGGTCATGAATGAATAAAACAAATCACGTCAGTTGTGTCAGACTCTATGGGTCTGAATATTGTATTGTCAATAACGTGTTTAATCTCGATTTCGAAAGTCCAGAGTAATATAAATTTTTTGCACAGATATACATGTACACATTTTTGTTCAGAGGGTTCAAGAATATTGAGTTTCTTTATTTCTGTTTTATTTTAAAGTACATTTTATGGAAACACACGTGTTTTCATCGACAACATTTGTTTGAATTTATTTTTTTTTTTTTCGAAATTGATGCAACCAAGCGTAGCACTACATTATATCATTGTTCTATCTTCATACGATGTGATCTGTCATTATTATGTAAATTCCTATCACGATTAGTAACATGTAACATTGACATGAAATGTTGTTATAAGACTCATTATCTTTCGACATATCTTACCAGGTTAGTTTTTAATTATTGAAGTTATCAAACCAAAAATTAATAGTATTGATGATAGAAAAACTGGCGAATCAGAATAAAAAACGAATGGTGTTAGTTAATAAGGTGGTGATGATAATAGGTGTTGCTTACTTTGGTTTGAATCATTTGAAATATTTGAAATATTTT